TTGTTTAGTTGGACTGAGGAGAGGCGATTCTGGTTACCCTTGTTAATTCCCAGATAAATCAGCATATTTTACTTCTGGGGGTTGGTATATTTTAGCCTACCATCTATGCTAATCTCTCTCCAAAAGCATCCTCATCCTTTTCTGGGTCTCTTCAGGATTATCAGGCAATTGTTGATGCTGAATGGAATATTCTCTATGACAAGTTAGAGAGGATCCATCATTCTGGAGCCAAAGTCGTCTTGTCCAAACTCCCGATCGGGGATGTAGCCACCCAGTACTTTGCCGACAGGGACATGTTCTGTGCTGGCCGAGTGCCGGAGGAGGATCTGAAGAGGACAATGATGGTAACCAAACATTCGTGTGCTGCTTCTTGGCTTTTGCGGGCCTGGAGGGGTTTTCATTTACTCCCGGTATACTGGAGCGCACTCTCAGGTTGGCATGTGACTCTAGGCGTGTCTTTGCTTTTTTTTTGCCTTGAAGCATTCCAGTCCCCATGTGTACATGCTCAGTGTAACTGAAACAAGTTAGGAAATCTGATTTGTGAGGGTACCTAGTAGTAATGCTGTGATCAGCTATATAAACTCAAGTACTGGTGTTTCTGCAAGGTTTCCTCCTTTTCTTTTGAGCATCTCACCAAAGACGTGTTAGGTCCAAAGCACCGATCCTAACTAGTTGTTGGGCCCAGGGCACGCTAGGTTGGGGGAGTGGGTTTTGGGTGAAGTAAAGGGTCCCCATCTCCTTTTAACTAGGCCTGCTTGCCTGTCATGTGTCTTTGTTCTGTTTTATTTTCTCCTCTTCCAGGGGGTAACGGTGAGAGTGGGTTATCCAGGGCAGGGGGCTCTGGGGCACTGTGGCAGGGTTTAGCGTGAGAATTGGCTTTTGAGGCTAGATGGCATGAAGCTCTCTTCTGGCTTCACGTGAGCCTTAACTGCCAGGTGGTTCACCTTCTTGTGCTCATCAGGCCTGCGGAGGCTCCATTCAAACAAGTGTGAATGCTCTGTCGTCAGATGTGCTGGGCCGCTGCCAGGTCTTTGAAGAGACCCAGATTGGAGGCGAGAGGTAAGCCATAGGCCTGGGCTGCCTCTTGGTTGAGCTCACGGGACCTGCCTGAGTCTGGCCTTCTGCCATCTTTTGGGGGGTGGTATACAGCATTTGCTACTCTTTTTTGAGGTCTCATCTTTTGGGGTATAAAGAACTCAGATATGAAGTATTTCGAGAGGGAAGGAGATCAAGTTGGGTCTAAAGTCTGACTCCGCATTATTTTATGCCCCCGGGTACAGCCCCAAACCTTCCCCAAAACATGTCTACAAGAGTGGGATTAGAAAGCCCTAGTGAGGAACAGAAGAGCAGCTGCCGAGCTGGGAGGATGTGGTGAGGTCAGACGCAGCAGGCTGGCAGCAGAAAGAGGTTGACGTGTGTGATTTGATCCTGGGTGTAGGTACAATTTCTTCACTGGCTGCCCCAAGGCCAAGACTTGCACAATCATCCTTCGTGGCGGTGCTGAGCAGTTTATGGAGGAGACAGAGCGGTCCCTGCACGACGCCATCATGATTGTCAGGAGGGCCATCAAGGTACTAGGCTGGGGGTGTCCTGCCTCCCCAGCCGATAAGACCCTGGATTTGTGTGGTGATTTCTTCCCTGTATAACCTGTCTTCCCTGAGTTGCCTCACAAGTCATAGAGAAGTAGCCTCAGTCTCTCAAAATAGGTCACGCCGCCTTAAAGGCTATGACTTGTGAGCCAGCAGGGACGCTGCTGTCGTCAGCCATCCCAGTGATTGTACCAGTGCCCTCAAACTACAAGGTGACCTTGAAGATGGTCAGGGACCAGAAGGTTCACTGGATTGCAGTTGGGATGTGCTAGATAAGAGCCGCATCTAGGCTTCCTGGGGTTTGGGATGTGGGAGGAATGAGGAACCACTCCCGTTTCTGTGCTAGAGGGCCTGCTGACCGGCTGGTCCAGCTTGGCTGTGGCTGGAGCTTGGACCAGGGGCCTGTTAGCGTTGAGAGGTGCGTCTGGTCTCTGCAGAACGATTCAGTGGTGGCTGGTGGCGGGGCCATTGAGATGGAGCTCTCCAAGTACCTGCGGGATTACTCCAGGACCATTCCAGGAAAACAGCAGCTGTTGATTGGGGCGTACGCCAAGGCCTTGGAAATTATCCCACGCCAGCTGTGTGACAATGCTGGCTTTGATGCCACGAACATCCTCAACAAGCTGCGGGCGCGGCATGCCCAGGTGGGTCCTTGCCCTTGGGGCCCAGGGATTGGGGGTGTGGGGATGAATGCTGAGCGTGTGCTGTGCCTGCTCAGCTCTGCGTGTTGGGCCCCAGGGACAGGGCTGGAACTGAAGGCAGTACCAGCTAACTGGGCCTCGAGGGCAGAGAGAAAGCTGCGGTGCCAGGACTGGAGCTTCCAGGGCTTTCTTCAGTGCCTCTACTGAAGATGATCCTGCTCCTTGCGGTGCCATCGGAGGAGCCAGGGGGACCCTGCGGCCTCCTCCCTGGAAGCACACGCTGACCACGTGTATGGGTTCCCCAGGGTGCGGGTGAAGCAGGCCGGAGCCCTGCCAACCAGCAGCCCAGCCACAGCTCTACCGCCTCTAGGTTGGGATCTCTCTGCGAGCTTAATTTGTTATTTGCTGTTTAGCAAGTGTTTGTTGAGAGAGATGTGTTAACTGCTCGGCACTGTGACAAAAGCACTCAGTGAGTGACCTTGTTTGTGACTTGTGTGAGGGCTTGAAGCGTATCATTCACTTCTCTGCACCTCCATTTCCTCATCTGAAATGGGGGCTGACGGAAGCAGTGAGCTTAGTAAGGGATTAGAAAGTGTTCCTCTTGAGAAACACACAGTCCTTGGGGTGACCTGAGGACGGGACCTCCCCAAAACACAGTATGTTGCCCGGAAGAGGGCCCAGAGCTCTTTTGTGAGCAGCATGTTTAGGGTTTGAAGGGGGTGGGTGTTAGGGGCACGGGTGGGAAGACGTGCACATCCAGGTTCCTGGTGTGATGCCAGGCAGACGCCATCTTCCTTGGGGAAAGGCAGGCAAGTTCAAGAGAGTGAGGTTTCCTAACGCCCGGAGTCTTTTGGAGGATATGCGAGAAGAAATTTGAGAGCAGTTCCCTATTAACCTCCCCTCTTTTCCTGTTCTGTCAGGGGGGCATGTGGTACGGAGTGGACATCAACAACGAGGATATTGCCGACAACTTCGAGGCCTTCGTGTGGGAGCCAGCCATGGTGCGCATCAATGCCCTGACCGCAGCCTCTGAGGCCGCCTGCCTTATCGTGTCGGTAGATGAAACCATCAAAAACCCTCGCTCAACAGTGGACGCTCCCCCAGCTGCGGGCCGGGGCCGGGGCCGGGGCCGCCCGCATTGAGAGGCACCCTGCCCCTCACGCGAGTGGCTGGCGGGCTGGCTGCAGGGTATGCTTATTCTCCCTGTCTCGGTCCATTGGTATTACGAGGAAAGGGTAGTAATTGGCCCACTCTGTTCTCACTGGAGGTTATTTAAATAAACGTAAGACTTAGAATTCACTTTGCAAATTACTTGGGCACAGGAGTTTTACTTGGAAATGTCTTGACTCCAGCTCAGGATTTTACTTTTGTATATACTCACCCACAGATAGAAAAATTTTCTTCTTTTCTGTTGGGCTCAGTCCTCAACAGCCTCTGGTTGTTAAGGCAGAGTACGGGTCTGCTCTGCAGGCAGGGAGCTCCACTTCAGGGGCCTCCATCCGGAAGTTTCACTTTGGGGTTTTTTTGTCCCAGAAGTGGCTAGGAGATGTGGAGTCCCCTTCCTTTTCTGATGTCATCTTATTTAGCCCTGGCCTCACCGGGCACTGCTCCCAGGGTTTCTGTGGGTTTGAGTAGATGTGTTACATTACCTTGTTTACTCCTTCCACCTCCCTACTCTTGGCTTAGTCTTTGGTCTCTCCTTTTTCAGGATCTCATGGTTGAGGGCTCTTGGAGAAATGTTCTAGAGAGGCCACATCCTCTTGAAATTCTGTGGTGATTCCTTAGAAGTCCATTGAGGAGGTGGCTGAAGGAGCACCCACCTGGTCTTGGTTCAGCCACTAATGGTCTTGGGGGTTCCTTTTGCTTTCTTCTGACCAGTGGAGGTTTGGAGTGGCCAGCACAGATAAAGTGGAAATCAGCAGGATCTGACTGCCGTCTCGTTCACACTAGTCCTGAGAGCCGGCCTATAGCTAACTATCATTAGTAATTGTTGAAGCTGGAGGTGTGACTGTGACCTTCAGCCACGGAAGTTTTAGTTGCCTGACACTGGGAGGTGATTAAAAAGAAAATCTCTTGAGTTTGGCCCACTCTTGGTTAGAGGGACTCAAGCAGGATGGGGTGGTGGGCAGGTCCAGACTGTGTAGTCTGGCATCCCTCCGAACTTGACAGTCTCTGGGTAAACTAACTTTTCTGAACCTCAGCTGCCCTGCCTATGTGGGGAACATAAGAATAGTTGTCTCAGAGTTGTGGGGATGAATATTCATCTTGTTTGATGCTAAAACCACACGCAATTTAAGCCCAAGCATCTGGTCTTTTTTCTGATTTTAAATATTTCCAGACCTGAGTAATCTAATCAGTGGGGCAACCTCATTTGGCAAAATGGGGTAGTTGAGGCCACAAAGTGATGGGCAATTTGGTCTCTCCCCCAGGCCAAAGCCTGATTGGCTGGCTAAAGCTTCCTACGGAGGTGGCCAAGCCACTGAGGGGCCGGGCAGTGTCTGTTGCTCTTGCTGGACTTGTCCTGGGGTTGTCCATAAAGATGGCCTCCCCAGCTTGTGCAGATACCAAAAGTGAGCTCTGGTGGGGACAGTGACGTCTGCAGCCCTGCGACAGGTCTTCCTAATGCTTTATTCACTGTTGATGCCATTCAGGTCATCCACCCACTTCCTGCCTCAGTGCACTTGAACTGCAGAAAGGCTTGGTGACACAGACAGACAAAAATATGGCCACCTACCATTTACTTCCCTGGCAGATAATCCAGTTTCACCATCTTTTATTGGATACAAAGTCATAAATTCTCTGATGCCCATGTGAGTCCTTTTAAATACATACACTCAGGTACATTCGGCGAAGGGCATCTATGGGTGACGTGGAGCAAAGTGCTGTGATGGTGACGCCTGGCGGCGGGGGGTGGGGGTGGGGGGAGAGAAGTGGGGCCAGGGAAGGCCCCCTGGGGGCTGGAGGTACAGGCACCACTTCAGAAACAAAACCAAAAAACGCTCTGCACCCCTCCGCCTGCTGTGCTTGGGGTGGGGGAAGCTACCCTCACAGCTCAGGCCCATTGCAGCCTGGCTGTGCAGGGAAGGCAGGCCTGGGGGCCGGTTGAGGAGGTCCCCACTAGCAGTGCCCACGAGAGCCAAGCCTACTGGTGCCAGTCATGAGGCAAGCCTCAAGGTTGCCTCGGGCCTCTGCACTTGAATGCAAGACCCCGCCAGGGCAGAGTTGAGGCCAGGCTGCCCAAGGCCAAGCCTCCTGGAACTGTGCCAGCAACGGCAGACAAGGCTTGGGCTTGTGGCGGGGAAGCCTGCCTGATTGTCAGGGCAGTCTTGGGACTGGCAAGGGTCCCAGGGGGTTAGGGAAGGAGTAGGAGCTGGTTGCCCTGGTATTCCGGTCTTCACCCAATCCTAAACCTTATCCTCAGGCAAAAGCTGCAGATGAATACACTTGTCCAGGAATAAATACATACACACGATACACAGCAGTATATACAGAAATGCAGGCCTGGAACAAGGCTGGGCAAGAAAGCATGATCACCAGGGTTAAAAAGAGAAGTGCCAGGCCCCTGGAGGAAGGACTGATGGGCTGGACAGGTCAGTTTGAGTTAACTCCTCTGGGCAGGGAGGCCCTGCCCCCACTCACCATCTCTGCCATCTTCACCCCAAGCCCCCGAGGAATTGGGTCTTTGGCACCAGTAGTCCCTCTGGGAAGGTCTTCAGCCTAGCACCTTAGAGGGACTAGGGCCTGGGCCGCTTCCCACCCGTGGCCCAAAGGACCAGGCAATAGTCAGGACCCAACGGCAAAGGATGGAGCCAAACCTTGGAGCTGCAGGCCCTGGGAGGGAGGTGGCTTTTTGCTTCTGAAGCACTTGAGGGGCTGGTTCAAACCGCTCTCACAGGCCCAGGAAGTCCTGAGCTGCCTTGGTCCTGAGGTGGTTTCTTGGCCAGTGGAGAGCCATGGGTCTGCGCAGCACCCTTCCTCTCTCCCAGGGGTCAGATGTATACAGCATCTCCTTCGTTCCCTCTAGGGCCACGGGGAAGCAGCCCAAAGCCTGGTGAAGTGCTCAGGCTGAGTGTGCCAAGCCTCCCAGATGCTGGGTCCAGGCCATATTGCAGGGAGAGGTGTAGGGACACCCGAGTGCTGGAGCGCATGGGAGCTCTACATGTGTCTGGGACCCCTAGAGCAGGGCCTGCTTCAGTTTGCTCTCTCAGATATTCCTCTCCTTTGCATCTTACCTAGGTGTGAGATACAGAGGTGGAAGCTCCTTTGAGTGAGTGAAGGATAAGGTGCTTTAGGAATGGCCAGACCCTCCATCCCTGTTACCCATCCTCAGCCATGCTCTGTGGTTGCCAAAGAAGTGAACAAATGGAGCATCCCTACAAATAAGCTCCCCATATAGTAGCAGGGCTCATCCCCCTGCGAGTCAGAAAATAGCTTCAAGTTGGGGGACATGGGGCCCGCACCCTACCACTTACTTCTTGGCATGCATGAAGTCCAGCCTGTGTGAGTCTGTGAGCCCGTCAGCAGGGGCTGAGGCCAATGCCATATGTACTCCTACACATCCTTCACACACTCAGCTGGGAGTTACAAGGTGGGGACTTCCTGGCCAAACTTCCTACCGTTGGGGGGTGGGGGGTGGGGGTGGGCTGTTCACTCTTCTGCCCCCAGTGCTGGTGGTGCTCAGGGCTGTTGCACGAATGAATGACTGACTGACTGAATGACTGGGTGAATGAACCTACTCCTAGAATCAGTCCTTTCAGCACTGCCTTTCTCCCACTCTAGCTCACTGCCTGTGCACCCTGACCTCCTTTTCCAGGACTGATGCCAGACATTCCAGTGGGTACCCACCCAGGGAGAAATTGCCCAAAGTCTTGTGTTCAGGGATGGAAGCTTCCTGGGGCAAAAGTCCCTCAGTAAGGCAGGCTCAGGCCAAGCAGGGCATCCCTTTGTGCTTTGTCCAGGAGATGGGGAGGGCAGCACCTCTGATCCTAGGGTCTCGAGCAGGAGCTATAGGGGGTACAGTTGGCAAGGCAAGACAGATGTACCCAGGGCACACCCATATCCCTTCCAGGCCCCTGGAGGATAGAGAAAAGTTGTGCTTCTTCCTTTGACTCCTGGGGACAGGGCTGGGGAGGTGGGAGCCAGTGGGGCCAGCTGCTCGGGGGGGGGGGGTGCCACACAGCCAAGACTTCGTGCAGGACTGGATAGGGAGTTGCCAACAGGACACCCTTGGTATTTGGGGTCTTCAAAGGGCAAGGCCAGAAGGAGCTGGGACAGAGCTGGGTGTGGAGTTAGGGGAGCTGGATACTGAGCCTGTGGCGTCCCAGTCTGAAGGACTCATTACAGGGTAACCTGGGGCTGGGTCTTGATGTCCAAGCCAGGATGCAGCAGAAAGTTAGGTCCCTGGAAAGGGCTGAGAAACTACAGAGAAGTCCAGCCCCAGCCAGGACCAGCAGCCTAATGGTTAGGGCAGAGCTGGCCCTGTATAGGAAAGAAGGAAACCCTAAGATGGATCGAGGTTAATGTTTGAAAGAACTTTCCAAGTGAATGTTAGCAGGACCCAAGGCCTCTACACCATTATGGGAGTTCTGAGAGGAGGAACTGCAGAGACCTGAGTCTTTGGAGCCTTAGTGCCAGAACCTGGTCTTACCAGAACTGTGCAAGAGTCCGTGAAAAACCTCCATCTGCATTCTGTGGTTTCTAAGCCAAGTGGCTCTGGCTCAGCCCCAGCACCGTGCCTAGGCAGAAGCACTCCACAGCCCATGGGGCCCGTGAAGACTGAGGAGGGAGGCAAGTCTGATGAGGCTGCTCTTCCTCCTCTTTGGCTTCATGGGTGTGGTTCCCTACCAAGATCATGTCTTCAAGCAAGCTAGCCAGACAAGGAAGCAAACCAAATCCCCTCCTCCTGGCTTCCTCCAGACCCCAGCACAGAAGGGGGACTCCCTGCCACCCACAGCACTGGGGACCCAGAGGCCATTAGATTGCTGCCCAAGCACCAGAAAGACATTTCTTGAGGACAGGAACTGCTGCTCACTGCTGCTAAGGTTTCCCAGAGCTAGGACCTTACCCCTCCAGAGGCTCGGGACTGGTGGACAGTATAGAAACATGCACCTTTTACCTCTGAATTTAGCTCTGGTGTGTCATGAGGGTATGTGGTGGCTGAGAGGAAGGGTCTTGTTTCTACAGCAATAAAAACTAGGTTTTCTCTACTTGGCAATTTATCCCCTTTGAGAATGGTGGTTTCAATATTCTGGGGAAAAGTTCTGGATGAATGTTTTGCCATTCCAAGCCCATTCCCACTACCTCGCTGCACCCCCGCCCCCCACTTTTGGCTGACCACATTCCCAGACCCATAGGCCTATCTGTGTTATCCCTGGGGAATGTGGACCGAGAGCCTAGGCAGGATGTCTGAAGGGGATGCCCCACAGAGGGCTGGAACAGGGCAGGAGGAAAAGAGTCCTCCTTGCCAAGTCTGAGCTGCTTTGGGGAGCCCCCTCAGGCTGGGGCCTAGCAGAGGCCCCTGACCGGGAGTCTGGGCCTCAGGAAGCAGGGGGCCTGCCCCAGTAGCCTGAACAACCGAGGAGCCACTCCGTGGTTACTGCAGGTCCTGAGGGCGATGACACCAGGTGCTGGTGGTGACTCAGCTCCTTGCTGGCTGTGCCCAGAAGGATGCTCCAGTGGGGGGGGTGAAGTGGGGGTCGGGGGGCAGCTTCTGTCCAAGCCCCTGTCCTGAAGAGGCAGTGCCCAGGGTCAGACCTGTTGCTCCACGGTCCCAGGAGGACGACAGGAAACTCAACCCTTCCCTGGAAGCCAGGGATAACACTAGGCCTCCGAAGGTCTAGTCCAAATCAGGGTCCCTCTGGAGATCCAAAGAGAGTGCCCTGGTGTGGGGCTGGCAGGGGCCCTGCCGCCCCCCGCCCGGGTTAGCAGCCGCCATCCACCTTGATGTGCAGGATCTTAGAGAAGCCGGGCCTCCGTCGTAGGGCCTGTAGACCAAACCCTGGGTTAGTTCCCCTCAGGGTCAGGCAAGTGGGGCCCTCCCGTTACACACCCAGGTCACCAACTCCAGCCTAGGGATGCCACCTAGGGTCTTGGGTGGCCTAAGAGCCAATTCCTCACCTGGAGTTTTGTCACCATGTCTTCAAACAGCTTCTGGGCCTCGGGACTGCTGGGCTCTTTGAAATAATCAGCAATCCCAATCTGGACCACAATGGACTTGAGGTTCCGGCAAATGCCTGAGAAAAGGTGGGTAATAAGATGATGGCTCATGTTTGGCCTGGGCAATGGGACTGCTGCTTCTCCTATCACTACTTAATGAAACCAGAACCCTACAGAGAGATGGTCACATGCCAGGCACTGGGCACCACGTAGAGGAGAGCAGGCCCGTGGCACCCAGAGGGTCAACCAGACGGGGGTTGGCGCCAGGGGAGGAGGGCAGGGTCATACAGCAGAGGTTGCAGTGGACTCTGGGAGGATGAGTGGGCAACGGCCAATTGTGCAGAGGCTCTAGGAGCTTCCCTGACAGAGGGGACAGTTGTACCATGGCCTAGCCATCTGGAAATGAATTCAAGGACAGAGTGGCTGGGGTGAGGCTGATGGGTCTTCTCTAGAACATGGAGGAGGGGAGACAGCCAGCAAACAAGTTGGGAGCAAAGGACTTAAGGGACCAGATGTTGCCATGAAGTCAGTGGAGTAGGAAGAAAGTCAGGAGGCTGAGAGGGTTCTGGAGGTCATGATTTTGGAGGCTGAGCAGTTAGTTCTGGTGGTCAGTCCAGGGCCAGGCCATGAGGCTGAAGGGGAGGGAAGAAGAGGGTCCTGGAAACAATGAGATTGTCAAGGAATCTTCAGTGCTCAGGACTTAGGTGTGACCAGGGCCTCAGGAAGGGGGCGGGGGGGGGGGCCTGCCCCAGTAGCCTGAGAACTGAGGAGCCACTCCGTGGTTACTGCAGGTCATGAGGGCGATGACACCAGGTGCTGGTGGTGACTCAGCTCCTTGCTGGCTGTGCCCAGAAGGATGCTCCAGTGGGGGGATGGAGCGGGGGTCGGAGACAGCTTCCTGAAGGAGTGTGAGCAGCCCCAGCTGGGTGCCCATGTCCTCAATGAAGGTGGAAGAATGGTCAGGAGTGGGGCAGGTGGCTAGGGGTTGGTGGAGTCAGAGGAGGCATGTTGGAGTCTACAGCAGCACGGAGAGAGGGGTCTTTACCCTGAGAATGGTCCTGGCGGGGCTCACATACATTATCTCATTTAACCCTCCCACCTGTTCCAGAACGTCCGCTTAGAAGATGGGGATACAGAAGCCAGAGAAGTAGAATAACTTGCCCAGTCATACAGCTAATAAGCAGTAGAGCCAAAATTGAGACCTAGATCAGTCCAGCTCCAGGACCTGTATTCCTAACCCGTCTGTTCTGCCCCTGCCCTTGGCCAAAGGCTCACGTGGAACAGGTCATATCTCGTATGTCCCATGGGGGTTGAGCATAGGGCAATAAAGATCTGTGGAACCGAACCATTTGGACCAGTGCTAGGAGGCCTCGAATGCCACACTGGCCTCAGAAGACCCTGGTGGCGAGGCTAGGATTAGCACCCTGGTCAGTCTGTCCCCCCCACCCCCACCCCCGCTGGTGCTTGCTGATGAGGAGCAACAGGGAATTGCATATGCTACCTGCTGACAAGGCATGGTAAGAGGGGGGACAGTGGACACCGCCCCCCGGCCGCATTCCCATTGCTCACTGTTGAAATGCAGCAGGGCCTTGGGGGTGACGGGGGTGGCCGTGAGCACCAACATCTCCAGTCCCTTCAGGCCTTCCCGGCAGACCTCAGCTGCCACCTCCTGGGTGATCTCCGACACATGGTCCAGCTCCAGGACCTGCAGCCGCATGCAGTTTCTTGCTAGGAAGAGGAGAAGAGGGGAGGTCCTGCTGACAAACTCCCCAGGTCGCCTCCGGCCCGGTGCCTCTGTGCTCCTGCCACCACCCAGGCCGCAGCCCCAAGCCCCTCTGGGATTCCAGTGTCACACCCACGCCTGCTTCCCACCACCCTCCGCCCCAGTCCCAAGGAAAGACTCACCAAGTGACGCCAGGCCCTGCACCCCACAGCCAGCACCCCCAACCCCCAGGGCCCGAAGGTGCGGCCAACAGCGACCAATCATCTGCAGGCAGCGGTTACTGAAGCGCGTGGGCTGCTGGCTGGAGAATGGGGCAGAGAGAGGGCTGTCAAGGAAGCTTCTGGTTGCACGGCACCCCGAGCCTGCTCCTCTTTCATGACCCTTGCTCAGGCTGGGGCCCCACCAACCACCCAGCTGCTCAAGGTAGAAACCTGGGATAATCCCTGACCCTTCCTTACCTCCTGCCGAGACCTACAGATTCTGATTCCTGAGTAACTTCAAAGCACAGTTCACACCACCATCCATATTCATGGGGATTCATCTAGTCTCTCTGCCAATTCATCCGGCACGCTGCTGACAGCGAGCCACTCGTTCTATGTTCTCTCACTCAGTCATTCAACAAATGGGCCTCAAGTGTCTACTAGAGCCAAGAATAACCGAGCTGGGCCCTGGGGATACAGTGGTGACAGTATAGACATGGTCCGTGCCCTCAACGAGGGGGGCGGGGGAGGACACAGAACATAACCAGTCTGATGTGATCCTGTCTTTAAGATCAGAAATACTGCAAAAGCTTCCCGAGCACTCCTAGGTAAAATGCAAAAATCTAACCCCCTTATGCAAGACCTTCCTAACCTTGCCCCCACCTTCCTGTCCACACTCATTGCTCCGCCCTGCCCACCACTCACACCAACCCGGCCATTTCCCTGAACACCTCGTTCCTCAACATTCGCCCAGGCGGTGGGTTCCCTGGTGTCTGCCACGCACCTGGTACCAGGGATATGGGAACGGACATTCACAGCCCCGACCTGGAGAACTGCGAGTACCGCGGAGACTCAGAGAGAGATTATTGCAAAACAAACTACAGCATGGGTCGAGCCAAGGCACCACAGGAATGGGGGCAGGGGAGCAGGGATGGATTCCGCCAGAGGGCAGGGAAGGACATGGGATGCCCCGAGAGGAGCTGTCGTGCGGAGAGAGGGCTTGGAGGACAGAGTGCAGGGACAAAGAAGTCTGGTTTGAGAAACACCAAGTCGTGAATGAATGATCTGGATTCTCCGACAACCAGCTCTTTGGTGTATGCTACATCGACCTCCCTGAATGGCCTTTCACGTGCCAAACGAACGTGGCTATTTCTAACTAGTGTTGACTGAACACTTATATATACTCTTTATAGACCCATCTCATCTGAGCCAGCTACGGTCCCACTAAGGCTGAAAGAGCTCGAATATCACCTTCACTTTGCAGTAGAGAAACTGAGGCATGACTGGATTGCCCTCCGTCACACTGCCAGTGAGCCAGGACGTCACCCCAGGCCTGATTTTGAAGCTCTGCTCCCAACAGCTAAATACACAGACTGATGAATGTGAATCTGTCTCCCCAGCCAGCTTTTGGAATGGCCCAGATCTGCTCAGTCCTCAGCCAGCCCCGGCTCAACCCCCGGCCCCTCCCAACCCCTGCTGGGGCTCACCAAGGGTGAAGTGGCGCCACCTGGAGGGAGACAATCTCTCTGCAGCCTGCGCCCAGGGCCCAAATGACCTCGTGGCCCACGGGGTCTGTGGCGCTCCTGTTGAAAAGACAGAGCTGGGACCGCCCACCCTGGTGGCTTCTGCTCCCTGCCCTTGGACCAGAGGACTCTCGGGTCCCCTTGCCTGAAAGCCCTGGGGGAAGAGTATGCAGACCCCAGGGACCCGCTCGGCCAGAGGTCCGGAGGGTGTGGACTACCTGTAGGTGACGGCCTGCAGGGCGCGGCAGTAGCAGCTGGCCAGCCAGAGGGAGCGGTCAGTGAGGATGTTGGGACAGTGGGAGATGCGCAGGATCAGCAGATTCCCCCCCGCCGCCTTCAACAGGGACTCCAGCCCCGCCTCCAGGCAGCCCCTGGGGATGGCCAAGAGGTCAGGGCACCGTTTGTGGCCACTCCTTCCCCGGGGAAGCACCGCCCCCCCAAAACTCCAGGTGTGCACGCAGTAACACCCCCCCTGCCCACCCACCACCGCCTCACCGGGTGCTCCGCGCGTACTCTTCCTTGCTCTCCTTCTTGCCCCGCTGCCGGGGCTTCAAGTTCTGCAGGGTCAGCGAGTGCGCCTGGGTGCACCACTGAGCCAGCATGGCCAGGAACTGCAGGGAGAGAGGGGTTGCCTGCCGATGAAGGGGCCCGAGCTTGGCTGCCTGGAGGGAGACCCCATGAGAGCATTTGGGGGAGCGAGGCTGAAGCTAGGGTGCTGGAAGGGTCGCAAGGGCCAGACCTCGAGGGCCCAGATTCTGCTGGGAGAAAGGTGGGTTCACAGCAGGGGCGGTGGGCGGGGACAGGCACCTTGGAACAGACGCGGGCGTTCTCGAGCAGCACCCGTGTCCAGACCGCGGGGTGGCGAGCCACGAAGCGCCAGTCTCGGCAGACCTCGGCCGCGTGCAGCAGCGTGCGCGTATCCAGGTAGGTGAAGATGCAGAACAGGGCGGCTCGCATCTTGAGGATCTCCGGGCTGATGACCTCGTTGGAGCGGGAGGGGCTGCCCCTCTCCGCTCGCCGACCCCGCCCACTGCCTCCCTCCGGGCGGGCTGCACGGTACCAGAGGGTCAGAGATCAGTGTGGAGGGTCAAAGGCCAATGTGGGGGTGTGGGTGGGGAGGTGGGGTGGGGTAGGAGCTACAGAAGGGGCAAGCATGAAAGACCCATGCTGGGGGACTGGTGACTTGGGAGGAAGGCAAGGGGCCTCTGCTTCCCCCTCCTCTGCACACCCCATCTCTAATTATACACATTAGGAAAAGGTGTGGCTTCCTCAAGTAAACTGTCTTTTTAAGATCATACATCCTCACATTGTTCAAACTCAGCCCCTAGGCAAAGCAACGGAGTCAAGTCTAGGAAAGGCAAGGGTTTGGAGAGTGAGGGTACAGATGGACAGAAACCCAGCCTCTGTGAACAGAAGGCCAGGGCGAGGCTGCCCAGAACAGTCACTCAAGAGCAGCCATGCACCCGACCTGAGCCCTCTAACCTCCTGACCCTGACCCTGACCCACCCACAGATGCACATGGCCTTGTGCATATATAGAAGGGGGCTCTCCCTGCTGTTCCAGGGACTTCAGTCTGCAGTTAACACTCAGCTACTCTCCCGTAAATGTCAACAACGAGCCATGTGAATGGACCCCCTGAGATGTGGCATCCTTGTGCAGTCCCCAACATGAGCACCCCTGTGCCGCTGCACTGCTCTGTCTCATGAGTTCCTTGCCCAGGCTCCCAGGGCACTTGTAGGAGAGTTTGTCATCCTCATTGCAGGAAGTCTGGGACAAGGGGAAACACGTGCGGGAGCCCAAGAGATCTACTGCCTCAGCCCTGTGTCCCCTTAGAGGGCCCAGCGCCAAAGAAAGACTGGCCCCTCTGGCCTACCCTTCCAGGACTCACCTGAGAGCCGGCAGCTGCTCAGTGGCCCAGCCAGAGCAGGCCCAGGACGGGGGGCATCTGAGGGGCCCTCAGCCTCTGACTCCGTGGTTCGGGAGCCCACATCCGAGACATCACCCTCCTCCCCCTCCGTGCTGTGTCGGCGGGGTCTGCGCTGCCAGTTCTGGATGGCCTGGCGCCGCAGGCCTGAGCTGCGAGGGGCCTGGGTGCGCTCCGAGCCGCCGTTGGCAGCCTGGGCCCGTGTGCCCAAGCCCCCAGGGCCACTGTCCTCGGGGGCCCCCTCTTCTGGCCGGGGTAGCTCCAGACTGTCACTGTCATAGCAGCCTGAGCTCTGGGATGCAGCGGGGACACGGCTGGAGGCCCTGGGGTGGGGTGGACCAGACGGTGAGGAGTGAGGGGCACCAGGTCTGCCCAAAGTCTCCATGCCACTCCTACCGAGGGCAACCCCCCCCGCCCTACTTTCCAAGAGCCCCCTTCCAAGAGTGTGGAAAGGCAGACGGAGGTGACCCAAGGAGTATGGGGAAAGGAGAAGGAGCCAAGGCCCCAGATGGGCCAGCCATCCAGGGGGCCGGTGGATCTTTCCAGGGTGAGGGTGGGCTGTGTGGGACGGGCCAGGCCCGAGGCTTACCCTGTGCTGGGAGAGGAGCCATGCCTCGACACGGCGTATGTGCTAGGCATGGCCGGGCCCGCGTGGTGTTCTCGCTGTGGGCCCCCAGAGCGGGAGGGAAAGGCGGGGGATGGGGGGGAGCAGAGGAGGTAAGAGGATGAGAAGGAGCAGGAGAACAGGGCACAAGATGGAGAGAAGAGAGGAGGGAGAGGAGAGAGAAGGAAAAAAGTTGGGAAAGATGGACAAATAGACAGACAGACGGCCCAGAAAGGCAGGCTCACCACCCCCCTCCCCACACCCACCCAGCACCCCAGACCCTGGGGTGGTTCCTGGGCTCTCAGTTGGGCAGAGAAGGGCCCCCGAGCACCAGGGCGGCTGGATCGCACCTCACTGGCTCACAGCCTCAGGGGCCCTTCTGCCCAACCGGAGGGGCACCCCTGTTCCTGGACCCCTCCTTCAGGCCCGGAGTCTGCTCGTGGGGAAGAGCCCAAGAAGGGAAGCATGGAGCATAACAGGGGGACGCCAGGCCGTGTGCGCGATGGGACTGGAGGGGGCAGGTGGGCGCTCACCATTCTGCCAGGGCCCCGGGTCCCGGGCCCGGCGCCACTTCCTCCCCCTCCGCGGCCCAGGCTGGCGCTCGGGGTGCTGCCACAGCTGCTGCTGATGACCTGCAGCTGCCGCTCGGCGCGGTCCGCGCGCTCCAGCAGCTCCTCGATGAACTGCTGCAGCCGCAGCTTGGCGCTGGCCTCCCGCGCCGCCGTCTCCTTCAGGAACTGGTCGATCTGCACCACCTCCCTGGGCCCGGAGCAGTCTCTCAGCCCCGTGCCTCGGCCTGGCTGCCCACCCACCCTCTGGAGGAGACCCCGAGCGGGAGGGAGAGACACGGGCACGGCTGCCCGCGCTGTCTGCTCACGCTCACGCGGCTGCCCGCTGATGTACAGGCCTGGGCACAAGGCCCCCTCCGCCAAGGCACACACAGAAATGCAACCATATACCCACCCCGAGTCACATACTCATGCCCCACTGACCCAGCCCCGACGCTCCTGCCAGGCGCCCCTACTCCCCACGGAAACACTCTGTCATACGCAGTCCCACTCAGAGCCGCCTCCTCCGTCCGGATACACTCTTGGGCACACAGCCACACACACTCACGTACACGTGCTCCTGTCATGTTCACTTGCAGGCATACATACACGCAGTGTGAGCCAGGTACAGTCCCGCTCACACATTCCAACACACACACACTTTCAGAAACATTCTCAGATGCAGAAGCCTCGGGCAAGTACACACAGCACACTTCAGAGTCACTTGAGCATTTACTCCCAAGTGTATTCACATTCAACATTCACTGAGCACCTTCCAGGTGTCAGGCACTGTTCTAGGTATTTAGGGATACAGCTGTGGACAGACTGAGAAGAGCTCCTGCCCCCATGGGGCTTATATCACACTGGGGGGTAGATAAATACCATCCATATATTTCACCATTCTACATTTAAAGACAAGGGAAATAGGAAGCCAGCAAAGAACACTGAGAAGGAGCAGACAAAAAGGAGAGTATCCTGGAAGCCCAGTGAAGAAAGTGTTTCAGGGATCAGCTGTGTCAAATGCTGCTGATAGGCTGAGGTGTTGATGAGTGGGCCTCGGCGACATGAAGATCGTTGGTGACGTGGAGGACAGTGGTGGTGGTGGACATCTATCTGATCAGAGGGAATTCAAGAGAGAAAGTGGAGAGGGAAATTGGAGACAAGGAGTATAAATTTTCAAGGAGTTGTTCTGAAAGGAGAGAAAAGGGGCAGTAGCCCAAGGGGGCACTGGGGTTACGGTGGATGGGAGAAACGCCCTCCTGTTTGGTCGCTTTCAGGAATGATACAGTTGGGGCACCTGGGTGGCTCAGTTGTTAAGCATCTGCCTTTTGCTCAGGTCAGGGTCGTGGGATCAAGCCCCACATCCGGCTTCCTGCTCAGCGGGAAGCCTGCTTCTCCCTCTCCCACTCCCCCTGCTTGTGTTCCCTCTCTCGCTGTGTCTCTGTCAAATAAACAAATAAAATCTTAAAAAAAAAAAAAAAAAAGGAATGATAGAGCTGACAAGGAAAATCTGATGATGGCAAAGGGAGAGAGCAGAATTGTGCCACGTCTTTGAGTAGGCAAAAGAGAAGAGGATCTGCTGCCACAATGCAGGGGCTGGCCTTGGCTAGGGACATAGAAAAGGAAGAGAAAGAGTTTTCACGGGCAGGCATGCGGGCATACTTGCATGTCCTCACAGTCCCAAACACATACCGTCATGACGCTCTTGGCCCCACACACACCACCGTCACATGCTTGTGGCCACAGATGCCACAGTACAAAGCCACGGCCACACAGACACACACACTCAAGGTGGGGGAAGCGGCAGCGACACACAGGGTCACTCAATCGGGAACATTCACCGGCACACCCGCCCACAGGGCCCTGCGGGCCACTCACTGCTGCTTGCGGCTCAGCTCCTGTTCCTTGTGCACCAGGTCCTGCTTGAGCGACGCCAGCAGCTCCACGCTCACGTCCACCTGGCGCGAGAGCTCGGACGCCCGCTCCTCCAGCTCCTCCTTCTCGCGCCCCAGCCGCGCGCTCTCCTGCCGCGCCGTCTCCAGCTCGGCCGCCTTGCGCTCCAGCTCGGCCTGCAGCCGACCCACCTGGCCCGCGATCTTCTGCTCCACCTCCTCGCTCAGCCGCTCCAGCCGCCGGTCCACCTCCAGCTTCTCCAGCGCGCGGATCTTGAGGCGCGCCAGGCCCTCCTCGTAAGCCACATCGGCGGGCGAGGGGGACGCGGGCGAGGCGGAGGCGGGCCCGGGGCCCGGCCCGGGCGGCGGCGTCGAGCACGCCGAGGAGGCCACGGACTTGCGGGCGAACAGCTCCCCCAGCGGGATCTCGATCTCGCGCAGCGCGTAGCGCGCGGCGGCGGCGGCGGCGGCGGGCACGAGGCCCGGCTCGGCCAGCTCCTCGCACGGCAGGCTGGCGGGCACCAGGTCGCCGGCGAAGTGGGCGAGGGGCGCGTGGTGGTGATGGTGGTGCAGTAGGTGCGGCGCGGCGGGCGACGGCCCGGCCGCCTGCTCCTTGCCCTGGAAGGACGTACTCTCGAAGACCTCGCGCCGGGCGCCGGGCACGGCCAGCAGGGCGGCGGGCTCGGGCGTCAGCGGGAAGCCCGAGGCGGCGGCGGCGGCGGCGGCGGCGGCGGCCGCGGCGCCGTCGCAGATGCTGTTGGTCTTGGAGAGGATGTAGAGCGTCTCGTACGTGTGGCTGTACTCCAGGTGAGCGCGCAGTGACGACAGGCTCCGGAAGCGCTTGTGCTCCCCGCAGCGGGGGCAGCGGTACGGCAGGTCCAGCGAGGCCATGGCCCCGCCGCCCCCGCGGCGCCCGGGCTCCACCGCGGCCGCCCCCGCCGGTCAGCCGGGCGCGCTCATGGGGGGCCGCGGGCGAGCCCCCCTGCGCGGTCAGGAAGGCTCAGGGCGCCGGCGGCCAGGGGCGAGGAGGCTGGAAGAGAGGGAGTAGGCCTTAGGAGGGTGGTCTCCCCCACGCGTGAGGAAACTGACTTCCCCAGGAAACACGCGCCCATAATGGGGGGGCGAGGGAATCCCAATGGCTTGACCTCCCAGAGGGGGCTGGCCTGCTCTGGTACCTGCGGGAGGGCCTGTACATGTACGATAGTGAGAAAGAATGAGAATTCTTTAAGGGGGGGGGGGGAAGGCATTCGTTATAATACTTCCAACCTATATTCCAACTAGACATAACCCAAGTGCCCATCACCAGTAGACTGGATGAATTGTGATATGTCCGTAGTGGAATTTTATCCAGCAATAGGGAAAGGAAGCACTGGGACATGCAACAACATGGATGAATCCATTCAATATTACGCTGCATAAAAGAAGCCAGAGCAGGGCGCCTGGGTGGCTCAGTTGGTTAAGCGACTGCCTTCGGCTCAGGTCATGATCCTGGAGTCCCGGGATCGAGTCCTGCATCGGGCTCCCTGCTCGGCAGGGAGTCTGCTTCTCTCTCTGACCCTCCCCCCTCTCATGCTCTCTCTATCTCATTCTATCTCTCAAATAAATAAATAAAATCTTAAAAAAAAAAAAAAAGCCAGAGCAGAGTGCACACTGTAGCATTCCATACATAGGGAGTCCAAGAACAGACGAAATTGGTCATGACAGAAGTCAGAATAGAGGTTACCCCCTGGAGACTATAAACTGAGAAGGGACAGGAGGGAACCTCATATGATGCTGAAAATGTTCTAGATCTTGATATGAGTGGTGGTTATACATGTGAATACATATGTAAACAATCAAGCTATATACTTAAGGCTAGTGCACCATATGTATTTGGCTGTATGTATCTTACATCTGAAAAAAATCCTTAAAGGAAGATGCTTATTTCCAGATCATGCAAACCATACCCATCAGACAGGCTGGACTGTTGGTACCATGTTGCAGTGACTGAGTTGTCACCTCACCTGACGATACTTGTGTGCATGTCACTGTTTATTCCTGTCCTGCTTCTGTACCCTCCCATCACTGCCACTCTAGGCAGATAGGTCCTTTTTTAGAGTCCTTTGCTAGGTCGGTCTCCAAAAAGCGCCCTGCCCTGCCCTTTGTTCCAAGGGCCACCATATTTGTCCTCTTCAGGCCCATTCTAGCACAAACCACCACCCTTCCTGACATGCTACCCCCGGTCACCCTCAACTCCCACTGCCCCTCCTCCCTCATCTCTGGCTTCTGGTCACACCTCCTCTGCCTCGTGGAATCTCTACCCCATTCATCACTACCCTCCTCGTCCTAACTGCCAGCCACCCTCCGCTGTCACTGTGCTCCTCTGGGTCACAGACCACCTGCTTATCAATCCAGTTGTCGTCAAGGATCTTCATCCACTTGGTCGCTTGGCTGATACTGCTGACCACTCCATCTTCCCAGGCTGCCGTGAAGCCGCCCGTTTGGGTTCTCCAACCTCCTCTTCCTACTGCCTTCTGAATCTTCCTGATGAGAGGTCCACATTCACACCCTCTTTGCATCTGCCCTCTCCCCGGCAGTCTGGTTTGCTCCCACATGTTCACTCCCAGCTTTAAGCCGTTGACTCTCAGCTCTGCCTCCCCCTCCTGACCTGCTCTGGAGTTTCCTTTGCCTTCAGGCATTTCCACATGGAGGTATGGGTGACTATTTGTTCCCTTTACCAGCCCAGCACCCAGTCCTTCTCCTGGTAAAATCACTCTGCTTTGACCTTGGAGATCCATTCTTCCTTCCCCACTTTCTCAGTCCACATGGTCTGAGTGGGGGCTGATGGTCCACCCCGGCTCCAGGGGTAAGAAAGTGATATAGACCTGGCCAAACAGAGTCCCGGGATGGGCAGAGATCGCCCAAGTTGAGTCCTTGAGGCATTCCTCCCTCCAGGACTTCTCTGAACCACTGGGGAAAAGCATCCTCTTTGGGCTCAGGTTTCTAAGCTAATGGGAAAGGCTAGAGCTGCAAGGGCTATCTTTGCCTCTTTGGGGAGGAACCTCCTGGGAATGAAGCCAACACAGAGAAGCAGAACTGATATGGAGACAGAGATTTCTCACAGACACTGTTTGAGATCCTGGTCGGTTGGGTGAACCAATTTGTTCCCTTCATTGCTTAAGCCATTTGGAGTTGGGTCTATGGTACCTGCACTAGAAAAAAGTCCTAACCCAGAAATTAGAATAAGAAATGGACTTTTTTAAAGGACTAGACCCTAAGGAGGAATAAGCTGAACTAAGAGGGGAAGTAAGATGGTACCACCTCCCCCCTCAGAAGTTGGTGACCCCTGCTACCCAGCAGCAAAGCAGCCGATGAAACTCTCCCCCGGTCTCTGGAGCTCAGATGATGTTCCTACCTGGAACTTTAGGGGGCCTGTAGAAAAATGTCACCATGTTGGGGTGTGGCCTCTCCCATGGTCTCAGTAAGGCCCAACAAGAAAGAGACACACTCCGGCTGAAAGGGGCACCTCTGAAAGCAGAGAGGAAGAAAATGCTGCTTGGCTTAGAGAGGAGCTTTCTGCCTGAGGCCAGTAATCCAATATGGCTAAGAGTCAGATAATTAAGAGCCAGTTCTCTGCTTCTAGCTAAAAGTCAGCTCAAGCAAAGACAGGGAGGCTGGAAACACAGAGAGAGACAAACCTGGGCCCTGACAGGCTCTTGACTCCTCAGGCCCTTCAGGAACCCCTCTTGCTATGCTAGCCCTCCCAGCTCGACAGAAGCTTTCACCAAAACAGCCTTCCACTGGGGTGCAGCTTGAGTGGGAAGGGGCAATGAACTCTGCCTCCCGCCCTAGATGAAGGGTTTGCATTGCCCTGCGGCAGAGGCCTAGCCAGAAGCAACAGAACCGTGCGCTCCTGGGATGGGCAGAGCACCAAGGGCTGTTGCTAAGAGACAACCCCTGCTCCTCCCCGAACACTATCACCAGGGACTTGATTCAAGAATTACAACTTCCAGTGAGGTCTCTAGTTTGGTTAATGGCTCTGGGGACAACTGAACGTAAATTGACTGAAAGCTTCCTAATGATTAAGGGGATTGTATTGCCAGAAAAACCAACAAACCTAGAAAACAAAGGCCAGGGATTACTCAGCTCCTAATGTTCCCCACCCCTTAAACTTGCAGCAGTGGGAGGTGAGCCCCCAGTGCCCCTTTTCTGTGTGGCACAGAGCATGAAAGACAAGGGAGGCTCTTGGAAATGGCAGAACCAAAGCAGCCAAAAACAGGAGTCAGGGAACCCCGTCCTCACCAACTGGTCAAGCATGTGGACCACATATGGGTCTGTGACCACTGACTGTTTTTCCTTATCTCCCCTCTTCAGCTGGGAGGGTTTTGTACTTTCAGCTATCCGATCCTTCCTCCATCATAGTCTGGCCGTAAGCTGAAAGACCATGAGAGACTAGCTCAGTACCCTGCCAAAGAGACAGCCCATCACCAAGATCTTGAATTGGGGCTGGACGTGCTAAGTGGATGAGCAGTTGGAACATCTCCTTCTGGAGATTGGACAAGTGTATTTTAAGTTTTGTGAGGGACAGTTGTGTCAGGATAAACAGAAACATTTTAAAAATTGTATAAGGAGCAGGATCTGTGTAGATCTTGTTCAGAGGTGGGATGCAGTAGACATTTATTCTTTTTTGCTGTTCAGCTCCAGTCCCCCTTTGTGGCTAGACTCTGTTTTCCTTTGAAGAACCATTCCCCCCACTTTGGGTTGGGCTCGGACGGGAGTGTCTATAACCTTAGCCTGTTCATCAGTCACAGCGATCATTCATCCTGGGCACGTTTCCTACTCCAGGCCAAAACAGCCACTCCCAGGACCTGGGCCCAGCTGGTAGAAGGTGAGCCTGGGCCTCCTTGTGGCCATTTCTGTCCTCCTCCATGGGCCTTACTGAGACCATGGGAGAGGCCACACCCCAACGTGGTGACATTTTTCTACAGGCCCCCTAAAGAACACAAAGACTCCTGATGACCTCCCTTGAGCATCCAGATCCAGATGTGCCTGACACTTTAATCCAGGACTTGTCACTTGTGAGAGGCAGCAAATTCTTTTTGTAGCCCAAGTCGTTTGACTCGGGTGCCAGTCACTAGTATTGAAACTCTAGCCTAACACAATGACCCCCAGTGTCAAAAAGCAAATCTTGGACTTCCCCTCACCCACTCCCCAGGATCCATCCCTGTTTCCTTCAATGGTGCCACTGTCCTCCCAGTCACACCACACCACCGGCCATCCTGACTTTGCTCTCTGCTCACCATCAAGACCTGTTGATTTTTTTCTTCAGCAGTTCTCTTCTCCTGCTCTGTGCTCTTCCTCACACCCAGACAGCTGGCCCAGGCTTCAGCTCAGGGCCCTCTTCTGTCCCCTATTAGGCACCAGACTCCTCTGTCTACAGACAACTCCTGTTCATGCTCTTTCAGTGGCTCTCAGCATCTACCAACTGCAGCCAAACTCAGCTTCACCTTTGGCCTCACTGTACTCTTGCCAAGCTGAGAGTAAAAAGTGTCCTGGCTGTTTTACTGGCCTTTCTCTGATTACTATAGCTGGATATATTTTTTACACATTTAGCAGTCGTTTACATTTCTTTGGTGACTTTGCCTATGCACTATTTTGCTCATTTTTATACTGAACATTCATATTTTCTTATTGACTTTCAAAGGCTTTTCCTAATATCGATCCCTTGTCATCTATATACTACAAATGGTTTTCTCCAGTGTGTTGATTGGCTTGTTTATGGTCTTTACTGGTATAATAAAGCTGATAATTTGCTTCAGTAAAAATCTTTAGGATTTCTGATTTTGTTATCATGCTTAGTAAGTCCAGCCCTACCTGAAGACTATATAAACGGTTATATATGTATTCTTTTTGTACCTTGCGATTACCTTTTTTAAAAAGTCTAGAACAATTTTTTAAATTAAGGGCCTTAAACAAATAACCATAACACCATAAAGTGACAGTGACTTGGTAGCATGCAAATACTTCAAGCTGTATGGTTTCCTTTTATACGGTGGAGTTTTAAAATCCAAAAATTTTTGGTATGCATGCAGACAAGGATTTAAAAAACATCACTTTTTGTTATGGACATTTTCACACATACTCAAAAATACAATATGATGCTAAACTCCTATGTACCCATCATCCAACTTCAACAGGGACCAACTTACGACAATTCTGTTTCATCTGTACACCTGCCGCCCTGCCTTGCACCTCCCCCACCCCCACCACTGGATAATTTTGAGCAAATCCAAAATTTTATATTATTTTACCCAAAAAGTACTTTAATACCTATAAGAAAGGACTTAAATTTCTTTTTTAAAAAATACTTAGTCACTATTTTAACATCACCATCATTTAGGTATATTAAAACCAAAAAGTAGCCTCAAGAGGTAAATCCAGAAGACAGTTCTCTGAAAAGACCAACAAAAAACAGTCTTCTGGCAAATCTATTCAAAGTGCAAAAAAAAAAAAAAAAAGAAAGAAAGAAAACAAATACATAACACTATGAATGAGAAAAGGGACACAACCACTCACAGAGATTTTTTTTTTTAATTACTAGAATGTGACCAGATACAACTCTTGGCCCAAATTTTTGAAAATCTGGATGAACTGAATATTTTTCTAGGAAAATGTGAATTATCAAAATTGACTCAAGAAGAAATGGAAAACCTGAATAGATTAATAACTATAGATACAATTGAAGAAGTTGGCAAAGTGGCCAGAGATGTTATAAATAGAATTCAGCTCACACACACATAACTGTTCGGGAACTGTTCTGTAACGTATGGTCAGCCTGGTATCAGGGCACCCGTGTGTACCTGCCCATTCCAACTAAGTGCTGGTCCCTTTTGTGGGGGCACTTTCAGGGCATCAGAACCGGCCAGCTTTTCCCCTCCCCTCCCCATAATACTTTTGAAGCATGCTTTTCCTGCACAGCACCCTGCTAGCCAGGCTCTGAGAAAGAGGAAAGTCTGGGGGTGCAGGCCTGTGTGTAGATGTGCAAGGCAGAAGAAGGAAGGGGCTTCTCAGGTCCAGGTGGCTCTTCACCTGAGGCCAGCCTGCCCCACAGTTTCCCTCCATAGGCTGGAGTAGAGGAATGACTATGATTCATTCTTAGGAATATTTTTGCCTAGATGTATACACTTAGCATGAGCATAAGCATTGCCCGAATGCAGGCAAGAAGGTGATAGAGGGAAGGGGAGGCAGAAGAGGAAGAAAAAGAAAAATAGAAGTGTTGCCTGTTCAAATTCGATCACAGTCCTGTATTATTAGTATCATGATAGAACAGTTGGTGATTTTCCTTTGCATTCTAGTCTCCCCAAATCAGCAACCTCTAAGACCAGCCCTAAGACCAGCTTCCTTTTTCAGCCAGGACCTTCCCCCTTCTGAAATGCCTATCTCAAGTCTCCTTTCGTCTAAGTCCAGCTGAAGGTTTTCATTGGGTAGAAGGATTCTCCAGGCTGAACCAGAGGTATTGACTTTTTTTTTTTTTTTTAAGGTTTTCAGGTGTGTGAGTCTCATCTCCTCAAACAAGGCCAACCATCCCAAGATGTGTGTCTTCTCTGGCTCCTGTCTACTGTCACATTCTCATGGACTCTGCCAGAAACACAGAGAATCTTGCACTTTCATGGTTTCCACTACCACATAGGCCCTGAGAATTCCTGCAATGGACATTCGTATTTTTATCTGCTCGGCAAGCCTTCTTCACCTTCCGGTGATACAACATCTCATTCTTTCTCTGGTAAGCTGCCCCTCCCCACTCCCTGTTTCTGACAGGGCTGCGTGACCCAAGCCTGGCCAATCCTGGCGCCCCCACCTCTTTGGCCACAATGAATGACCCCGGAAGGGACACATTCCTCAAGCTGAGCCAACAGAGTCCTTCCCTGGGAATGTAAGTGAAAGACTGAGGAGTCTCTTGTTCCTCTGGGATCACATGCTAGGATGATGAAGCTGTCTATGGCTTTGTGTAACCTCCATCTACCACATGGAGAAAGCCCATGCACGGTGGGGGAAAAATTATGGCAACAGAGTGAAGCTGAGCCAAGAGCTAGAAAGAGTCCTCACCACATTTTTGAGAACCCAGGTACGGTCATGTCCCCAACCCACGCATCCCCCTTCTTTCCAGTTATTTGAGTTGGTATACATCCCTTTTTGCATGAAGTAATTTGGGATTTCTGTCCCTTGTGATCAAAAGTCCTAACATTCTCGCAAATTGGTATTTCTAGCCTAGAATTCTCCCCTGAGCTTTATTAAAGCATGAATTCATTCATGTTCTATTTATTGAGTCCCTGATCTGTGCCATGAACTGTATCAGGTGCCATGCTGGGTATGTTGAGGACACCCAGACCAACAAGATCCAGATCTTGCCTTCAAACAGCTTGTGGTCTCCCGGGACAGACTGAGGTATTAGATGATACAGTCATGAAATTAATGCTATGTAAGAACATGGGATTCGACACTCAGCTTGAGGAATTGGGGGACTGGGGAACCCCCAGAGGTGGTAGCATCTAGGATGACTCTGGAAGAGCAAAGTAGAGTCAGGTGAGGAAGTGTAATTATGAGGTTGGGGGAGGGGAAGAAAGGCATTCTGAGCACGGAGAACAGGATCCACAAAGACAAAAAAGCATGCCTCCCTCTGGGAACTAAAACGTAAGCTCTGTCCCAGTCACTGCTACTTTCCCAGCATTTCCAACACTGTGTGGCATGGGGTAGCTGCTCAGGTAAGTGTTTGTGGAATGAAGGAACGGCCAGGACTTAATCAGAGGTACAGTTGAGAGAACGGCCTACCGAGGGTCAACGTCAGGAAGAAGGCTGTTGGAAATAGAAACTGTTAGCCAAGGCAGTAGGAGCACAATGAGGAGAAGGATGGACATGGGAGCAGCATAGGAAGGAGAGTCGAGAAGGCTTGGTGACAGAATGATTGTGGCTGGTATTAAGTGGAGTGAGGATCAAACTCAGGTTTGGGTTTTGAGCATCTAAGTAAATGGGGCTGTGGTTCAGTTAGGAGGGAAAGTGAAGCAAGGCAAGTTTGGGGGAGAGATCAATTTGGTTGTAGATTCCATGAGTTTGAGGTTCCAGTGGGCCCTGGAAGTAGAGACAGTCAGTACATAGTTTGTGACACGGAGCCAAAAATACAGTTTTGGCACCTTAAGCATAAAAGTGGATGAGTAGGATCAGGGAGAGGGTGCAGAGAAAGGAGAGCAGGGGAGCGGTGAATCCTCAGAGAGGTGGAAGAAGGAGAAGAACCAAGAAGTTCCTAAGAACCAGCAGAAGCAATGGCAATTGTGGTGGGAAACCTTTGGGAAGAGGGATGTCAAGGAGGGAAGGAGTGGGCTGTAGTGTAAACAACAGGAGTTGACAACACAAGTCAGAGAAGAGGAGCAAAGAATCCACTGGGGACTTCAGGGAGCCCCGCTTTGATGAGCCTGACCGATGGGGTTGAGGGGAGAGTGAGGTAGAGACGGTGAGTGGACACAGGAAGCTCAACTGTGAAGTGGGAAGAGGCAGCGTGAGAGATTCCAAAAGGAGCTTTCAAGATGAGAGACACCTGCACATATTTAAATGCCTCTTAGAGATAACCTAATTCTAATCTATACCATCACTTCCGCTAGCTCGAGGCACACATAACCCAATGCCTTAGACCTGACATTTAGAGCAATTCTTTTTTTTTTTTTTTAAGTGCTCCTAACAAGCAGCCTGTAGAGAGGGAGAGGATGAAAAGGTTGATATTTTAATGTAGGTGGCTCAGAGCTTAATATGGCTAATAATGAACTCACAATACCACGATATTCACCTTCAAGCCTGCTTCTTTCTCCTGTTTCCCATCTTGACCAACATCTTCATTATCTACTCTGCACCTCGGATGCAACCCCCCACGGCATCTCTGAATTCTCAAAGTCCCCCTCAGACCTCATCAATCACTAGTTTTTGTAATACTACCTTCTAAATATTTGATTCTATTTCCTCTAGTCCCTGCCCCAGACCATAATTACCCCCTTCTATCTGGTCTGCTGATATTATTGCTAACTGTAGTCTCTAACTCCGCCAGCTTTCAATTCTCATGTTTTCTGCAAATACAGATCCAGTTTATCACTCTTCTCCTCAAATAAATCTCTGAGGGCAGGCCATGTTCAGGGAGGTAAAGTCCACCGTGCTTTGACTGCCTCCAAGGTGGGCCAGGACCCAACCACCACTCAGCCTTGCCAGCCTAGCGTTTGCATCTGCTTCCCATGTGCGTCCTTAATGGGCCCTGTGGGGCTTAGCTTCCCTGAGAAGTGCCATGTGCTGTCACACCCTTAAGTCTTGGCTCATGCTGGTCCCTCTTACTGGGATTCCCTTCTCCGAACGGTGAATTCTGCAGGCCCAGCTCAAATGCTAGCCATTCCATGAAGCCTTCTTCTACTCCCTCCTTCAGCTCAAATCACATCCCAGCATGAATCACTCCTTACCATAGCTCTTCACATATGGTAACAGGTGTCACATGCTGGATGGTCGTGGACCTGTTTGCACATCAGATCCCACCCTATGCAGACACTGGAGGGCAAGGACAATGCAAATGATTCACCCTCACACCTTCCTCCCACACAGAAGACATCAGTATATCATTCTTAGAGGAATCACACTGAATAATGGATGAACTGATTGATTTCATGTAGCCCAAGTGATTTCTACCACTCATTGTCATGGAACTGGATGAATCTGGCTATAATTAAGTCAATCTAAGAATCACCTGGAATAACAAGTGCTTCCCTGGCTCTGCTTACTTCCCACCCACTGGAAAGTAAGAACCTGCTGTGTCTTCTTGACTCTGTCACTCTAGCAGAGCAACACGGTTTAGGGCTTCTCTGCTTCATTCTAGTTTATCCACCCAACAAAAAGATGTCAAACAGGGGCACCTGGGTGGCTCAGTCCGTTACGACTTGATTTTGGCACAGGTCATGATGTCAGGGTCGTGAGACCAAGCCCCTCTATGGGCTCCGCTCAGCGGGGAATCTGCTTGAGATTCTCTCCCTCTCCCTCTGCTGCTCCCCCTGCTTGTGCGCGCGCTCTCTCTCTCTCTCTCACAAATAAATAAATAAGATCTTAAAAAAAAAAAAAAGATGTCAAACACAAGGGCCATGCCAGCCACTGGAGACACAAAGATGAATAAGGCAGTCACACCCTCAAGATGCTTACAGTCTAATAATCTGAACGGTGAACGTTTACCTACCAATTATTCTGGTCAGATACCACGTTTCTCATTTAATCCTCATGACAGTGCTGCCATGTAGGTGGTATTGTCTTTATTTTAGAAGGAGGAAAGTGAGGCTCAGAGTGGCCAAATCACTTGCCCAAGGCCAGGAAGTGACTGTAACAGACTGTTACTTTGATGGCGCCCTTGGAACCATGCCTCCCAGGATTCTTGCCCTTATGGGGTCCCCTTCCATATTGACTCAGAGCTTGGCCGTGTGACTTGTTTTGGCCAACAGGACATTAGCAAGCCTGATGCAGGCAGAGGCTTGATAAGCAATTGTACCAGAGGGCTTGTCCTCTTGGAATATTTCCATTTGGGATCCAGCTGCCATATAAAAAACAGGCTAAATTACTGACTGATTAGATGCCACATGTAGAGAGACCCTGGAGGTTGAAAGGCCACCTTGATGTTCCTTTTCAGCCAGTCCCTCAACTGAATGCTGCTGAGAGCTGCCATGTGAGCCCACAGCCACAGCCACAGTCATGACCAAGCCACAGACCATGAAAAATAATAAATCACTGTTGTCTTAAGCCCCTAAACTCTGGGGTGGTTTGTTACACACCAGTGAATGAGTGGATAGGCTAGGATTTGAACCAAGTACTACCTGACTGACTTCAAGACCCATGCTCTCAGTCTTAACATACGTTCCTTCCGTTTGGGAGTAGAATGTCACACCAGCTCTACTCTCTGGCCCACAGTAGCGCTCAATAAATATTTGTTGAATGAATGAATAAAGGGAGTGGTGGGCTTCCAGGGAGGCAGGAAAAGTCCAGGGAACTCAAAGGCAGGATGGTAATTACCTTTCAACAACTATCACCCCCTTCCAGCCACAAATATTCCAAAAACAAAAATATGCTAGGCATCCCTAAATCCAGAAACAAGTGTGTGGATATCACCAAACTTCCTCTCTGTCTCTCTCTTTCTCTATTAAATTCAGGTCAGGCAAAATTGAGAAGTTAGCAGAGTTTGGTTTTTGATGGTCATTCTCCCTGCCTCTCAGATCCTCCTCTACCTCTCTCACTTGGCCTTCTGGGACCAACAGCTCTTTCTCCCTCTTTGCATAAAAAACCACATGCAGGAAAGGAGCAGAGAAGGTGGAACTTACAGAAATGGGGGAGAAAGATTTGGATGTTAATAGATGGCTTTACAGGCAAAAGAAATGAAGCTCTAAGCTCAGTGCTTTCAGGAGACATCTACCAGCAGGTGGAGGAGGTGTTCTAAGGATGGGGAGACAGCTGGAAGTGTCCCTGTGGATGGAGAATAAAGGAATGCCCCCTGACTCTCTAAATCCCTCCAAATCCCCCAAGAAGGAGGGGGTTCTGGCTCTCCACACCTGGGGTTGTGGTCACCACATGCGTACCTCCCAGAGCAGTCACTATAGCCTAGTGAAGACCCACAGGGGTCAATGTATCCAGTCCCCTGCTTCCTGGCAGCCCTGACTGCCTTTTCTGTTCTAAGCTCCCCTTCACTCTTGTACTCCTGCAAACGTGCACACACCTCCCAAGGTCACACACACATGGCTCCAGCACCTGGATCCCACACTCAGAAAACCATCTGGGCCCCTGCTCACTGCACATTCGACCTAAGGAAAGAGCAGGCCCCACTCCTACTCACAGGCACTCCATGGCAAGTGCACACGGGCGCCGTGTCACACACACATGCAAAGCAATGCAGTGAGGAGCACACATCCAGCTCACTGTGGACAGTCACCAACGGAGGCACTGGGAGATGAGGAGAGAGAAACAGGCGTGCACACACATGCACACCTCCTGATCGTCCAGACTATCACACGTGCACACCGGCACGCACACAGACACCCAAAGCCTCCCACCCTCAGACTCCCGCACAGGTGCCCAGCCAGGCCTCAACACCAAGCCCCTCCCCCACCCCTTTTCAGAAGCAGGTGGAGAGGGCTGGGTTTGAGGGCGCTCCCCTTCCTCCTCCCTCCCTCTGGCCCTGCTCTCTAAGGTCCAGAGTCCCAGGGGGGTCTGGAGCCCGCCCCCGCCCCCCAACCTGGCTCGGGGAGCGACTGGCGAGAAGGGGGCGGGGGATGGGAAGCCTGGTCTCAAAACGTTCTGATTTTAATTCCTTAAATTAACCCCTGCCTTGCCTCTGGCCTGGCCTGCCTAGAATCCCTCCCGGTCCGGCAGCGTCGTGGGCCTCCCGAGGACTGTGGGGGAGAAGCAAGAGGAGGAGGCAGCGGCTGGGGTCCTCCCTGCCTTCTCTCTCCAGGAGCGGTCCCGCAGCGCGCCCATGACTCTGCCCTTACCTCCTCCACCCCGCGGCGAGGCCAGGCCCCGCAGCCCTCGGCTGGGGGTGCACAGGCAGCCCCCGCGTGCCGGGTCCAGATGCAGGGCCGCCCTGGGGCCTCGGATCTCGTTCCCCTCCGCAGCCTCGGGTGGCAGCCGCGGCTTGTGCCCCCGCCTCCCTCTCGGGGCGGGGGCGGCCGAGCCTCCCAGCCAGTCGCAGCGGGAGGGGCACACAAACCGGGTGGGGGAAGGATGGAGGAGGAGGAGGGAGAAGGAGGGGGCTCGCGGCCCGAGGAAAGGAAGAGAAGGGGGAGGGAGGCAGCGAGGAGGTGGGGCGGAGCCGGCCCCTCCTTCGGGGCGGGCTCTCCTGCGAGCTGGGGAGCGGCAGATGCAGCCAGAAGCGGCTGCGCCGGGACCCCACGTTTTCCGCTGAAGGTGGCTTCGATGGGGGAGGGGTCCGCGGCGCCGCCCTGGGGGTGCAGGGACCGCTGGGCCGCGCTCCTCCTGGGTCCGGGTCTTCCAGACTCCCGGCACCGCCCAGTGCACTCTCCCTGCCCCAGGCACCTCTTCTGCCCACCTTTAATTCAAATCTCTCCGCCCTAGCCCTACCACCCTGGCTGGGCCTGCTTCCACTCAGGGCAGATCCCGGGGGCGTGGGGGGGGCGGTTCTGTGGGTCAGGAAGAGGGCGGGGGCGCTGCACTGCTCCTGGGATATGCGCCACTGTCACTAAGCAGCCTCGTGGGCCGCGCCCTAGGTTGTGCACTTAGCGACCTCCAGCCAGATGCTTGGTCTCCGCCGAGATTGCTTGAGTCAATCCCCTCTGGGCATCCCTAGGGAACCAGGAAAGCTGCGAGTGCTTGCTTTCTCAGGACCCAATTTTGCCCTTGAGGATACCATCGAGGAGAACTTGTCCCCATCACAAATCCCATCCCGGACCTAGAGAGGGAGAAAAGAGGCAGAGAGACAGTGGCCTGCAGCTTTGGTTCCTTCCCACCCACGCCACCCCCCACCCCCACCACACCCCGACTCCCTCCTCCCAACCCCCCTACCCCGCCTTGAACTTGGTTAGGAGAGAAGCCTAGCTCCCTAGGACTTGAGCAGATCTAGAGGGCCCTTGACTTAAGGCCTATCCAGCCACTGATGCAGGAACAATCTAGCTGTCCGAGGCTTGGAGGAAGTTCACAGGGCTGCAGTGGGGCCTGAGAAATCAGACATGGTGTTAGGGCTATCAAGCCCAGGGCTGAGCTGGGCTTTGGAGGAGGAAAAGGGGAGATGGAATTTCAGGCTGTGGGTAGTACTTGGGCAAAGGCACAGAGATGAGCTTGGGCAGGGCCTAAGCACCAAGGCTATGAGGGGCAGTCTGGCTGCCACAGCACAGAAATCCAACATAACCCGAGGATTCTCCAATAAATGAAGCTGACAGGGACTTTTCTTGACCCCATTCTCCTACAGCAAAGGCATTGAACATTTAATATCAGAAAAGATAATTTGTAGACTTGTCTGGTGGCTTTGAGGGACAGGCAAATTTAATAAGGACTGAGGCGGGCACCTGGGTGGCTCAGTTGGTTAAGTGACTGCCTTCAGCTCAGGTCATGATCCCAGAGTCCTGGGATGGAGTCCCACATCAGGCTCCCCCTGCTCTGCGGGGAGCCTGCTTCTCCCTCTGCCTCTGCCTGCCACTCCCCCTGCTTGTGCTCTCTCTCTGTCAAATAAATAAATAAAATCTTAAAAAAAAAAAAAAAAAAAAAGGACTGAGGCAAAATAAGCCAGTCAGGTCAAACTACCCTTCTCCCAACATCTTCTCTTCTGTCCCCGAGCTCCTGAATTTTTTTCCTCCTCCAGAAAGTCTTCTTTGATTGAGCAAGTGAGAAATCAATTCCTCTAAGACCTAAATGATAACAGCTTCTATTAGCCAAGTGCCAAGCATCATACTAATCATTTAATGCATATCATTCAGTTGTCCTAATAAATCTATCAAGTACATATTATGATTATTCTTACTTTACAGATGAGGAAGCTAAAGTTCAGAGCCCAATGAATGGCACAGTCAGGATGTGAACTCAAGTCAATGAACTCCAAAGTCTGCACTTCAACACAGTGCCCTCCTGCAACCCCTTTGCTGTATTAAGCCTACTGCACCCTCCTCTGCCAAAGGACAGATTCCCCAAATCCACCTGCTTTTGCAGAGAACCAAAAATGTCCATATATTGTCTTGATTCTACCTTTGTTCAGATTATGTTTGTCTGTCCTCACTCTATGCTTCCTATGAATATGAGAAAACAATCCAGGGCAGGCCTGTGTATGTATGTACGTATGTGCTTTTGTGCATATGTGTACGCATGCAGGTATGTAGCTATGCATATGCACATATGTGCGCGTGTGAGTACATGCATAGGTGAATGCATGCATGTGTACACATGTGGGTGTACGTGTGCATGTATGAATGTGTCTATTAGTGAATACACATGTGTATGTATGTGGGTGTGTATACGTGTGGGGGGATATGCACGTATATGTGCACATGCGCATATGTGTGTATGCATGTGCGCATGTGTGCTCATGCTACATTTCACAGACAACAGTTCCTGCTTGGTTGTTATGGGAACCACAGTTCTAAAAATGTTAAACTGAATCCCACTCCATGTGGGCCAGAGAAACCAAAAGAGAGAGAGAACTGAGTGGCAGACACATCTGGGGGCCCAGAGCTGAGGTACAGAATCATGGGCTCAGCAAGAATTGGACAGGCACAGACCAGCCAGATGTGTGGTCCCACTCAGGAGACCCCCATGGCTTGGATCAGGACCTCAGTCCTGCTTCTGCCCATCTCTCCCTCCTGATCTTTTCTCAGCTTCATGCTCTCCAAACACCTTCCTTCCTTCCTCTTTCCCCCTTTCTTTTCCTTTCTCCTTTTAGCACTTTAGACCTTTATGGGGGGCCAACCAACTAATGGAGATCAGTCAATAATAATTAAGCACTTAAGTGTGCTGGGCAGTAGGCATGATGATATGGAGCCCACACACATGGATCATACATGGTCAAGGATGGGAGGATTTGGATAATACACAAGGAGAGAGGAGACGAGAGAGCAAAGGGAGAGAAGGCAGAGGAGGGTGAAAGATGAATCTGGATCAGATACGGAAGGCTTTAACGGCAGTGCATATTTTTTTGTAGGAAAGTGGAAGCTCTGGTCATTTTGGGATACAATACTATGAATAATGTTTTAGGGAAGTTGTATCAGTAGTGATGCACAATGTGGAACGGAGGGAGAGAGACCACAGGAAGCAGTTTGGTACAGTGCAGGCTTGTCTCAAACAGGGCACAGGGGTTGGGGGGATGAGGGAAGAAATAGCAGGCATTCTGGGTTGCTTTGTCAAACTCTCCCCTGTATCCCACTTCATCAAGATTCTTACTACTCTTCCCTGTATCTCCACGGTCAAAGGACTAGGGTGACCTTTGTTACTGATGTATGTGTTGAATTCTTCAAGTATACTGGAAAGGAAACAAGTTGGGAACCACTGGCCTAGCATATGGTAGGTGCTCAATAACACTTGTGGAACAACTAGATATGGGGATATATCCTGGTCTTGGAACTGGAAGGCCCAGGTTCGAGGCCCACTTTAGTCTCTCATTCTCTGTGTGCCCTTAAGAAAATCCCCAAATCTCTGGGGCCTCAGTTTCTTTCTCTGTACATTGAGGGGTCAGAAAGGATGTTGTTATAAATTCCTTCCAACTACATGTTATGTGATTCTATGTGATCGTCATAGCCATGGTGTTTGTGTACGTGCAGGGAGCGGCACTGACTGAGGTGCTGGCAATAGGCACAGAGAAGATAAACATGGGAAATATTTTAAGAGAGGAACCAACATGTTCTAACTTCATTTTTTTTTTTAAGATTTTATTTATTTATTTGACCGAGAGAGACACAGCGAGAGAGAGAACACAAACAGGGGGAATGGAAGAGGGAGAAGCGGGCTTCCCGCTGAGCAGGGAGCCCAATGCAGGGCTCGATCCCAGGACCCCGGGATCATGACGTGAGCCTAAGGCAGATGCTTAACCGACTGAGCCACCCAAGCACCCCGTTCTGGCTTCATTTTTAATTAGTATTATGGAATAGATAAACCAAAGACCCTCCTGCTACAGAATATGTGCACTGATTCACAAAATGTAACAGACCTCTGAAATGCTTAACCAAAAATGCAATAAAGGAAAGAAAATCTGGGGCACCTCGGTGGCTCAGTCGTTAAGCATCTATCTGCCTTCAGCTCAGGTCATGATCCCAGGGTCCGGGGATCGAGCCCCGCATCGGGCTCCCTGCTCAGTTGGAAGCCTGCTTCTCCCTCTCCCGCTCCCCCTGCTTGTGTTCCCTCTCTCACTGTCTCTCTCTCTCTCGGTCAATAAATAAATAAAATCTTAAAAAAAAAAAAAAGGAAAGAAAATCTATATGGGCCAAAACTGGGCATAGAACTGGGAGACCAAGAAACGTAAGCATGGGATGTGCTGTGACTAACCCCAGGAGGTATGGGGAGGGAGGCTTATTGCTTGTCTGTGTTGACCTGGGCCCTGGTTGGGTGAGTTCCCTCGAGAATGTATAACTATATGAGTTAGAGTTTGAACTACATGATACAAGAAACCCAGGTTAAGAAATTAACATGGAGGGGGCGCCTGGGTGGCTCAGTTGGTTAAGCGACTGCCTTCGGCTCAGGTCATGATCCTGGAGTCCCGGGATCGAGTCCCGCATCGGGCTCCCTGCTCAGCGAGGAGCCTGCTTCTCCCTCTGACCCTCCTCCCTCTCATGTACTCTCTCTCATTCTCGCTCTCTCAAATGAATAAATAAATCTTTAAAAAAAAAAAAAAGAAATTAACATGGAGAATGATCTCCATTAGTTGGTACTCTTCAGATGCACGGCACAAGCAAACAACACTGCTCAGGAAAAACATACCCTCAACCCAGGCCATAGAGTATTATTGCCCAGGTAAACCCCCACTGAAGTTGAGCTCACAGGCTAAAAATTACAATACATAAAAGGAAACAATGTACCATAGATGAGAGTAGATAAGATCCTGAAGAACTTCAGTAAGATCCAACCGTTCTGAGTGAAGCCTGGATATAGGGGAAGGAAGGGTCAAGGGTGAATCCCACAGAACTGTAAGTTATTTAGGTGAGTCTAGGGGCCCAAACAAATGACAGTCATCATTAGCAGAAATTGAGCATATAGAAGAATGATACGGTTTTAGACAGATGGTATTTTATATGGCAGTGAGACACCCATATGGAGGTGTTCATTTATCTGACCAAGGAAGGAGCTACAGCTGGGGCAGATACTCGGGCTGGCTGGCTTAGAAGTCATTTATGCAGCAGTGATCGCTAAAGGCCTGGAAATGAATGTGCTTTCCAAGAAGAGTGTTGAAATAGGGAAGGTGAGAGCTAGGAACCATGTCTGGGAAAACACCCCCATTTTGAGGGCCAGATGAAAAAGAGGAGCAAGGAAGGAAGGAGCTCTCTCTTTGTCCCTGATTCTGCGTGGGTCTTGGGTTTGGGTAGATTTTCTGATTATTTGCTTTAAATTCTTTCCATCTCTGGCCTAACATTCTCTTCCCTCACAATCCCTAGGGGAAGCTCCAGTAAATGGAACAATTTCCTGTGGGAGTACTACGAGGGACTTTTCAGCTGTGAGTTCTAGAACTAGGCTGGGCTCTGGCACCAACACCATGACTAAGTCACTTCTGTTCAATTTTCCCGTCTGTGATATTTAGGCCGAGGTGTGTGTGTGAGGACAAGATGGGGCACGATAGAGCTGACAGTACTTGATAGAATGATGTTAAAGGGGGTAAGGGTGACATGGTTATACACCACCTACCCACAGCCTGTCTGCCCTTCCTTCTTTGCTTAGGATGTATGGTTTGCAACCAGTTGCTCGAAATCTGGGCCTTTGTGCTCTTTCTTATCCTACTCTGCATGGAAAGTGAAGTCAGGTGGTTCATGCCTATAAATGAAAGGTGTGGTCATTTAAATAGTAAGCTAATGAAAATCATCATTATCTTGTGTCTCTGTGAATCTACTGCTTACCTATTATGCCTGATGGCCCATTATTTGAGCCTCTTTACAGGGTTAAACATTGCCCTCTGCAGGCTACTCTGAAAATGTTAACTCTTCTAGAAGAGGTAATGTGGAGTCCTTTACCACAAATTGGTTTATTAGATAGAAGATACTCAATCACATGAAAGCACTTAACACCTGGGGAGAGAAATGGGTGGAATTCTCTGACTTGATAATTTTGTCTCTGGTCAATCGGACTGTGGGGTGGAGGGTGAGCCTGTCTGACAGTGAAGGAACAAAGAGGCCAAAGGATCAGAAGCCAGGTTGATCTGGCATCATAAGGCTGTAAGGCACTTTTAGCTCAAGAACAGCTCAGCCTGAAAGCGAAAAGAATGAAGCCTGCAGACAGGTCCTATCCTTTCCTTAGCAGAGAGAAGTTACTGGGGAGGAGAGAGATAGGGTGCACAGCAGTCGGCTTGAGTCTGCTCAAGGTGGCCAGAAAAGCTTTTGAGTTGGGAGTTCAGGGAGTAAAGGGGGACCAAGTTGCATCCATTCCCCATCTTCCCCATCCCAAGATCATGCCTTCTTCCCTTCTAGCTCCAAACCCCCTCCCCAAGCCATGAAGGGTTCACCTGGAAGGAGAGCTAGGGAAAAGCGACTGTGGCAGGTGCATGGCTAGATGGTAAATGGGCTGCTGCCATCTGAACAAGATCCTTTGTGGGCAACTAACATGACTGTGAGAATCTGGCAAGCACCTTGCATGGCTTGGCTCTGCCCATCCATGGTCTAGCTGAATGTTGAGTCCCATTTGGCCATGACAGCTTGTGCTTCTCATAAAGATGCATGGGCACTGGCTGGAGCCTCTGTGATACCCAATACTCTGGGTGTTCCACAAACAACACTGCCATACTGCAGTCTTCTATTGCCATGGCTACTGCCTGGGGCTCCCTCTAGTTGCCGAACCTATTTCACTTCTTGATAGGAAGCCTTTCCAAACAGTGCTATTAAGCTGAGGTGCCAACATTCTGGGGTTGGTAAAAGAGTACTGGCTTTGGAGCCAGACAGATCTGAGTTTGACCTTGTCTGTTCCTAGCCAGGTTATCCAACAAGTTACCTATTTTGCTTCCTCATCTTTGGAAATGGAATATACACTGCTATTTAGGATTGTGAGGATTAAGGATAATATATGCCCAATGTTTAACAGTTTCAGAAACACTTTGAGCTTTTAGGTCAGTTGTGATTAAATGCATTGGTTAATTCAGTACATATTTATTGAACGTCTACTATGTGCCACAGTGCCTGACAGTATCTGCGTAGTGATTTCTTCTGGCACATATTCCCCTGGGGGAGTGGTTGGGGGGAATGGGTCAGAAGCTTAGATGGCAGATTCAGTAAGCTTTTAGCACAATAATTTTAATTGCAAAAATAAACAGTTTTGTCAACTGCTCGAGAGTAGCGTCTGCTTTACAAAAATTAACAACAACAAAAGGAAATAACCCCAAAGCAAAACGATACATCCAATGGCTGCTGGAAACGACATTGCTGTACAAAATCCCGCGCGAGACCGGCTCGGCGCTGCCCCAGCCTGCCTCTGGGGGAGGGTCTAATGAGGGGCGTGGGGCGTGCGCCAAGCCAGTTACAAAAGACTATCTTGAGTCCCAAGGAAGGGCCTACTCAGTGGGTGGCCTGAGAGGACTTCCCTCAAAGCGCGGCTGACGCGGGAGTCAGCTCCGGGAACCGCAGGAGCTGTCCACGGAGCTGGTGCTGAACGAGGCGTGAACGGCGGGCACTTCAAGGGAACTGGAAGCGGGACCAGAGGCCGGCCCCGGGACGTGCCGGAAAGGGGGGTGGGGGGGCGGGCCAGGTCGCCTCTTTCGTGCCGGGCGGCGGCGCCTCAATCTACAAACGCATCTCCCTCTCACAGGGCGGCGAAAGAGAGGCCCAAAGAGTAAAAGCCAAGGCCCTTGAGCCGCTCCTCGGCGCGCGCCTTCTGCTTGAGGTGCACCTTGCTGTGCCTTTTCTTCTCATCACTGCGCGCGAAGCGGCGGCCGCACACGTCGCAGGCAAAGGGTTTCTCACCCGTGTGAGTGCGCACGTGTGTGGTAAGGTGGTCGCTTCGGCTGAAGTTGCGGAGGCAGATGCGGCACTGGAAGGGCTTGTGGCCCGTGTGGATGCGCAGGTGGCGGTTGAGCTCGTCGGAGCGCGCAAAGCTGCGCACACAGCTCTCCACTGGGCAAGCAAAGGCCTTGGCGTGCGGCCGCGGGCAGAAGCAACGCGCGCTGCACTTGCCGCCCCGGCGCCCCTTGCGCCGCGCCTTGGTGGGGGGGAATGGGGCCGGCGGCGGTGGCCCGGGAGGCTCAGGCACGCCACTGCTCCCAGGGATGTCTGCCACCAGAGGTTTCGGGAAGTCCGCCGCGGTGCTGCGGAGACCCAGGGGAGAAAGCTGAGCCTGAGTACCGGCCAGAAACTCTCCGCCGTCGCCGCTACTCCCCCCATCCCCACTAGGAGGGGTCAGGAGACCCGGGAGGCCCTCGGCCACCTCCCCTAAGTCACCTGCGGCCAACGGGAAAGCGTCGTAAGACCCCGTGGGGTAGAGTCTGTTGGCGGGACCGGCCGGCAGCTCCGCTGGGCAGCTGATGGACAGCAGGTCTTCAATCTTGGCCCCCATCGAGGGGAAACGGGCGTCGGGGGCGGCCTGGTAACCTCCCTGTGACCCACAGCTCCCTGGGGCTCCAGCTGAGAGCAGCTCCCAGGAAGCGTAGGGGCCTTTGAAGGCCGAGGCAGTGTCCAGCGCGGGAGAGGCCGGAGGCGCCCGGAGGCCTGGCTTGACGTCGGGCGGGGAGAG